AGCACGATGGTCCAGAGCCAAGTGGAATGCTTGTGCTCTTCCAGCACTCTCATTTCAGCAGGTGGGTCATAGTTTGATCCCTGATGATAGTGAGTTCCTTCTGTTCTTGTTTGAGGAGCAGTGTGGAAGCAGGAGGTTGAGCAGCAGCACAATGAGGCCAAATTCTGTCCAGATTAGAATGTTATCACTTAGCTCAGCTCTTCAGAGAGAAAGGAGTGCTGCTCATAGCATTTGGGAATCTAAATACTTAAATCATAATTTGCTTCTTGATTTTTACTGCTTGTATTTGCAATAGGTTCTGAAAATAGTATTTATTACTGGCCAAATATTCTGTTTATATAAAAACCATGGAGTAGTGCTCAAAATGAAGTGGTGACTCTTCCTATCAAAAGCTTTCTGTGGAAATACTTGATTAGACTTAGCCTATACCATATGCTAAGCCATGTATGTGGCTATACCATATATCCTGAAGTATCCTCACATAAAATCAAGTGGTAGCCAGGTTACAAAACTGAAATGAGAACCTGTTGGAGATGAGTCTCTGGATAGTCTCATGTGATAGTGGGACTCCTTTCATGACTTGGTAAGATCTCACCATAACTCTGCTTCATCAGCTTGTAAATCTACAGTTGCAGAATGTTTTAATGTCAGCTCTTATTTTGGAATGTCGTGTGGGTTTGGGGTTTTTGTTTGTTTGTTTCTGGGTTGGGTTTGTTGGGGTTTTTTTTCCAAATAAGTGCTACAGATTTGATTATTTTATTAAAATTAATTAAAATAGCAATTTTAATATTTTTCTTAATGCCTATTTCTTGAAAGTTTTACTAGTAACAACACTAATCACAGATGTGAACCCAACAGGAGGGTTTCACAGTGGTGTCACATCCAGTGTATGATCACACAGTCTGAATTCTAAATAATGCTGCCACTGCCTTGGTTATATGATTACATCTTGTCATTTGGCTTCATGCTTCCTGTGTTGACAGTGGGAGGTGTTTAGTGTGCAGTGCAGTTCTCAGTTCCTCTCACCTGTACACAAATGTTGCATTTGGTCCTGCCACTTCCCCCTAACACCTCTCCTTCCCCTCACTCTGACATCAGCTGTGGAGCTGAAGGATGCAGCCACCCTGTGTGCAGCACAGGTACCATGCCATGTAAATCAAAGGACATTAGGGCTGGGATAAAGCTCCAGACAGACATGAGTACAGACTGCTCCATTTTTGTTTGTGCAATTCTTGCAGCAGATGCCTAATTAACAGGGGAACAGAAAACCAGGGGGAGAAGCCGTGTTTTCTAAGCTAAGTGTGCAAAATCTCTTTGTACTCCTAGATTAAAAAAAAACATACCCAAGGCTTGATATAAGGTAAACTTTGATTCTATGTTAAACACTGCCTATAGAGCCAGAAAACAAACTGTTATTCCATTGTCTAGACTTCGAGGGATTTCTTTTCATGGCATGTTGCAGAAGTGATAGAATTGCAGCTCTATGAATCATCAAAATCATGAATGAAGACTCACTTTTAGCAAAAAAACCCTTTTTAAAATGTGATTGTAAGTTTAAATGTTGCAAGACCCACCCTCAGGGTGCAGGGAGAGCATTTTTGATGTGGCTTTAAATGTTTAGGGGAATTTCTGAGAATTCCTCTAAAACCACGACTTCCATACAGTGTCCACACAGGCAGCAGATACCCAGCCCTGCACTTGGCCTGAAGTTATTCTCTGAGTGGATATGTAAGTTCACAAGGTTGATGTTGGGTACATTATGGTGTCACTCTGTGTGCCCAGAGTATGCCCTATTAGCATAATTCCTCTTGGAATTGTTCTGTAAGAATAATGTAAATACATTTTTGGGTTCTCAGAGGTGACTTTTCTTGGGCAAAACACACAGATCTTCAGGCGACAGATCTTCATTCCTAAATATCTAAGATGTAAACTCCTGTATTTAAAACCTTCCTCTAGGCTCCCTGTGTAAAAGAAAAACATGGAAATGGGGAGAAATAGCTCCTTTCCAGGCAGTGAGTCACCTGATATTAGCATAGACATCTAAATAAAACATGTAAATTGTGCCTCACAAGTGTCTTTTTCTCCACATGAACTATAAAAAGAGTCTAAACAACTGACTCAGATGTAAATGTCTGCAGTGTAGATGATCAAAGCCAGGTGAGGCACATCCACCACTGGAGCATGGGGAGGTACAGACAGACAGACAGCAGCTCAGGCTCTGAGAGCACACACCACCAGCTCATGACTAGGTTCTCATGGTGCCTGTTCTGGTGGCAGTTCATGCTCCAGCATTAATGAGTCCCTCCCCCACCCTTCCCACAGTGAGTTGCTGGCAAATAGTCAAAATGGTCTTAAGAAGTCAATCAACTCTGTGCCAAGTACTTAAAAATGTAAAATACATAGAAAAAAATTGTATTTATTAGGAAGTTATATATCTAGAAAGAAACAATTCTGCAATTTTTTTTTTCCTAAAACTTCCTAGTTGGAATGTCCATAGTCTAAATCTTATTTGGCAAGCCAGCTTAAAAACACTTGAACATTTGAAGAAGGAACATTTGAAATAAGCAATGAATGACAAACATCAAATAAATAATTTAGAATCAGATAAACATATTTTTTTAACCTCTAAATGCTATTATGTTGCTTTGTTATTAATTTTGTTGGCTTGGGTTTTTTTTTTAATTTGTATTCAACACTTTAAAAAATTAGGAAATTTGGAAGTAACTGCAAATAAAGGGCTGGAGTTATGTAAGAGGAGAAACTGATGGGAGCTCAACCCTGTAGCTGTGCTGCTCATTTACCATGACAGAAGCACATGAAGGCATCCTGTTCCTGACTTCTTGCACCCAATGATGAAACCAGCACTCCCTGACATCATGAAATTGCCCTAATTTCAAACATGCTCCAGGATGGCTTTCACTGCACATGTCCATGTTTGCATCTTAGCTTAGGACTGATCTTCTGATGCCTCCTTTCCACCCCTGCTCACCACTGGGATTGGAGCACAGAGCTGTCCTGGGCCAAACCAGCAGGATCAGCCCCTTGATGGAGCCAGAACAGGAGCTGTGCCCCAGCTCCACTGGGCAGCCAGACCTCACCACCAGCCCAGTCCTGGTCCCAGGAGCCACCCCTGGAGCAAGGACAGTGTGGACACAGGGCCCAGCAACTGTAAAATCACAGTAAGAATCCACAGACTTCAGGTGAGCTTTTACAAACCAGAGGAGTCGGCTGCTGCCCGAGGATTCACGTGCTGCAGATATCTGCCCATACCCTCTGCCCAAAGAACTGAAATCACCTCAAGTACCTTCAGAGCTTTGCTTCTACTAGCAAAGGAGCACAAGCTGTGTTACTTCCTACCTTCTACAGCGGCCTCTCCCATCCCTCCACAGATTCCCTAGAGCAGGGTTCTAAGCACTGACACTGCTGCTCTGACCCTTTGGTGACTTAGGATGCTCTTTGTATTCACACATTGGCACCCCGTGGAAACATGAATTAAAAAGTTCGTTTTCTGAAGTTTCTGAAGTGACTTCACAAGTCCCTCTCAAGGATCAGATTTTAAATTATTTCTCTTTTAGAACTCTCAGGCCTCCATACCTCAGTTCTTGGATAAACACTGTGAAATGCGGTCCCTGACTCAAAAAGTAGCTTACAATTCCCTTGCAGGAAAATCGTTTAAGGATGGCAAATTACAGCAGAACCAAAGAAGGGAGGGAAATGCAGAATAACTTACAAAAGCGTTCAGACGGGCACGGCTCGGCTCGGCTCAGCGGGGCGGGCGCGCAGCCACATATGTAGCTGTTCTTGGTGCTGAAGGAGGCGACGCTCCGTGGCAGGACAGAGCACGGCACGGCTCGGCTCGGCACGGCACGGCTCGGCACGGCGCGGCTCGGCACGGCACGGCGCGGCTCGGCACAGCGCGGCACGGCACAGCGCGGCACGGCACAGCGCGGCACGGAGCGGCTCCACGTGAATCCCCAGCCGGTCGCGGCTGCGGCTCCGGGCCCGCCCGCCCGCGCTCGGCACCGCCCTCCCCGGCACAGCCGCTCCGCCCGGGGCGCGGTGCCGGCAGACGCGGCCGCGGGATCTCTGAGCAGGGGAAGCCGGTGAAGGCTGAGGCTGTGGCACCGGGGGAGCGGGAGCGAGGACAGGGACACAGACGGGATCACCGGTGCGGGCCGGGGCTGTTTAACGCGGTCTCCCCCAGGGTGCGGAGCCTCCATCCCCATCCCGCCTCCCGCCCGCCCGGGAGCCCCGCTCAGCCTCGGCCAGACGGCGCCACCTCCAGGGCGCTGCCCGCAACTGCACCCGCGGCGCGGCGCGGCTGCGGGACGGGCTCGGGGCGGCGGCAGCGCGGCCGCGCGTCCGGCTCCGGACAGCGACCAGACCTTCTCCATCCTCCCGTTCACGCCAGCCTGAACTGCTCTCCTTAAAAGGAACAACATCTTTCTTTGCTTTGCCCAGGGCTGTCTCACTTAGAACATCATTGCTGGAAGGAGGAATTCCAAGAGTGCTTAAATATGTCCAACCAGCGCTTCCATGACCACCTTTGTTGTCTGTTACTGCTTGTGTTTATGTTAAAGGTCTGCACCAGGCAAACCACAGCACTCAGACAGTGTTCAATGGGTCTTTCTACAGTAACAGTGTAGGGCCAAGCAATAAGGTCCCAAACATCAGAAAGTGCTCCCAAAGACACTGGGTGGGAAGTACAGTGGCTTCAGGACAAGACATCGGTCTGCACCAACAACCACGCCTGCACATACACACCCAGTCCTGTAAATTCCTGAAGAACAAGTCAGGTAAACAAACAGGTCTCTGCCTCCCTAGGCAACAAAACAGCTCAGTCTGCAAGCCACTTGCTCTTGCAATCCCCTTTTCTGCAGAACAAAAGGCAGAGAGTTAATTAAATCCAGCACAGATGAAGAAACAGCACAGAAGATGTATGTTGCAACTGTGCATTACCACACTGACTTTGGAATCAGAGCAGAAACATTCAGGTCAGCTTCACAGCTGGTATACTCTGTCTCTAACACTTATTTCTCATTCAGAAAAGAAAATTATAAAACTATCTATACATCATAAAATAATCTTATTCAATAGTCCATAGTCCTGGCAACATGCCAGTCAGGCCTGTAGCTTTAAATAACTGTCCCCCCACCAGACAATAAACTCTTCATGAATATATCCACCTTTTAGTCAACCATGACTTCAGGATCCCAAAAACAAAGTATTTTAATGCTGACTGCCTCTCTATAGCATTCTCATATTATGACATTGAAAGTTCAATTGTCTCTTCTCACAATACAAGGGAAAAAACCGAAGTGGGAAAAGGAATATTATGCAAATATGATGCTTTAGTTGAAAGCAGTAGTTGGAATATATTGGGAATTACAGCTTTATTTTGCCTCAGTGATGCTGAATTTCTGTTTTAGGTGTTTTAAATAATCACCACAAAATAAGATGCATAGTTTCAATTAAGGATAAAGAAACTAAGTTTGGCACAAGTGTTCCAACAACCACCAAGTGCTTGAATAGTCAAATATTGTATCTCCTAACAGACCACCTTGGCACATCATGTTCTCTTCCACTGTGACTACAAGTCTTAAAGAAATTAGTTATATTTAGATTAAGAATTAATATCAGTTTGAAAATAAGCCACATCAAATAACAGGTACTAATATCTGTGGGAACATTTGTACCTCATACCCATCTCTCAGCAGTTTTAGAAAGTATCTGTTAATTTATTTCACATACATGTATTTACATTGAGGGAAATTCACACCACAGAAAATACAACATTTACACATTCACAGATATACAGTTTTGCACTCTCTCCTGTGTTAAGACCAGGCACTCAGCTCTGCTATCTCTGCAATAATGACAATATCAATTCTTAGCAGATCAAACAACAGGCAGGTTTAGTGGATTTTAAGCATCATCATGCTCTGTGTATGGTGGTTATACTCTTCAGGCTTTTAGATAGCAGATTATTTCACTGAAGAAAAATGCCTCCTGCATGGCATTTGCATAAGCTTCTATAAATCATAAGCATATACACATAGTTTGTGTTTTACTGTGTTACCAGTGATCCTTACTCTATAGAGTTCAGTTATCCTTGTAGTAGTTATTAAAGTTAATTCGCAGCAGAAAGTCCTCCAAATGTGGTTGGTATCCTCTATTTACAAGCTTTGTTACCACTGGAAAAAATAAAATAAATAAAGTAAGCTTCAACTAAGATTAATATTGTAAATTCATCCTTGACAGCATCTGTGCCTTTTAATTAAAAAAAAAAAAAAAGAAAATCATAATGCAGAAATCTGAGAACAAATGCATATTTTAACATAAGAAAAGTCCAGTATTTCTTTCTGGAATTATAAAATATTTTAAATAAATGCAAAAGAAGGACTATGCGTCAGTTCCAAGTGAAAGTGCATTATTCTAACAAAGCATTTCCTTCTTATGTTGCTTTCATAGAAACAAAGAAATCACAGAATCTTTCACAATAAAGATGGTGTGTTCCTATCACAACTGACCAGGAAGCACGTTTAGGTCCTCAGGAGACCTCTGTGAAAGAAGCAGCTCTGCTGAAGTTTTCTTGAGTGAAGTCCATTTGTGAGAGAGAAAAGCCAAGAGAAATTCCTGGGAGAAAGCCCTCAGGCTCTATGAATGGACACACCAACTGCTCTAAACATCCTCCAGTACAAAGGAAAAAAGCCAACAGGAGCTCCCTAAGCTCACAAACATCCCATGCACCAATACCAAGGGAATCAGCAAGCAGCAGCAGCATGCAAGGAAGAAGGGGAGGTGTCTTTTGAGAAGTTAGGGCCCGAGCCAAAGCCATTGAAGTCCAGACAACTTTGTATTGTCTTTCAATGGATTCTGGATGAACCCCTTGTGGAGAAAGAGCATTTTACAATACATGGTGACTGAAGGTACAAGTGGAGATGAACAAGCACATATTTGTTTTGTAGTGCTTAACAAAGAGGGTGTAAAAAACTGGGTCACTCATCAGATTTCCTTACAGAATGGTCTATTAATCTCTGTCCATGAAGCAACCATAGATCTCGTAGTATGGGCTTAGGTGGCTCCCACAGGTGTTCTGACTTCCTGTAGAATTTGGAAGCAGCCATTCTAACTCATCCTGAAATATCTGTTTTTGGTCCTTTGATACCATTTTTGGACACCCTTAAAGAATAAAAAGGGCAGCTCATTTCCTGAAGAATATAGTCTGAACTAGAAAATATTTTAGAAGAATAGATCTAAGAAAAGCAGATGCACCTCCCTCAGGAATTCAAGTTTTTCTAAAAAAAGGAACCCAGATCCCACAAACAACCTTTATAACAGATGAAGGATAAGTAATGTACTAAAACATAAGCAAGATCTGAAAGACAAATGAAGGTAACCATTTCAGCACATTATAGCCTAAGCTGACAGTGAGATGAAATTTTACCATGGTAAAGGAAAGAACATTTGTCAATAGTTGAACACAGTTGAAAAACTTGCCTGGAGCACGTGCTGGAAGGCTCTCTGAGCTTTAGTCCAACGTGGGAATCAGAACTTCCAAATCTCATACTAGTGGTAAAACTCAACTATTGCATATATATCTAAAATTACTTCTGAGTGGTATCTAACTATCTCTCACTGCTGCCAATAAAAAGTTTCAGAACTCACTTCCAGAGAAAAGAAAAAATGTATGCACAAAAGTACAGCTAAATACCAAATACTTATTTTGTGAATCAGCAAAAACTTACAGTCAGTTTTGAAATATCTGGTAGATTTCATGTGTGCACATCTTAATTGATGCACATGCAGATCTGATCTTGGCAAACCACAACAATGCAGTTTTCATTTGGGAACTATATTTCCAACATTCCTTAAGCATACAAATCTTCCTACTTTTACATTATATTACTAAAATATTCCAGTAGCCAGTTGATCTTTTGTTCCATCTAGAATTTATGCAATTTCTTACCTTTGAATAAGAAATGGGAGTAATACTTGAAGGTGTTGTAGGACTGCTGCATCAGACCAAAGTTGGGATGGACAGCCATTTGCTTCCCTGCATCGAAGCTCCACGACTGCGAGATGAGCTGGCTGCGGAACTTCAGGATGAGGCTGAAGATGCTGTGGATGATGTTCATCACTGGGGCTGCCTTCTCTGTCAACAGACCCCTGACAGAACAAAAACAACTGCACAAATCAGTTGATGTAATTTACTGGTTGTAAGATTATAAATACAAAGGAATGACAACCCTTTAGGTTAAAGATAATGGCTTTAAAAAATCCCCAAGGCTGCGGCCAACAAATTTTAAACAAGGTGCCTAAATCTAACACAGTTTACTTGCACTTCCAAGAAACTTATATCTGCCCTAGAGAATCTGATTTCTAAAATGACATCTGCCTTTGCAAAAGAGATGACATTTAACAACAACATGCTCTGACTTTCCTTAAACTTCAATCTCCTCTCATCCTACCACCTGCTATCCAAAGAGTAGCTCTAGGCAAGTCTTTTCTGATTAAAACTCGCAAAGACAGACATGAAAGGAGAAATTTCTTCTCTTGCTTTTAATTTCTGTTCTGTATCATCTCCCTCCATCTCACCACTTCATCATTTCAGTGTACACTGTACAAGAAGAAACCAAATAAACTGTAGCTCCTTTTCTTTCAGTCACACCACACCATGCCTCACATACAGTAACTAAGGGGCTAAAAGCTTGTGATTCCTAAAAGATGGTTGTCTCTTGCACTGCTCATAAAGCTAGACAAATCTTTTTGTCCTTTCCAAGTCCAGTCCTGGCCACTGCACACGTATTAAAAGCACACACATTGTACAGAAGATGCATCTCATATCCTTCAGCAAGGCTTACTGGGCACACTACTTATGATGAATGATACAGCAGTAATTTGTAAAGGATGAACTGAAAGAAAAAGAACTGTGGCATGTGTGCCCTTAGTTTAGAGCTGTCCTGAGCAGCTGGAAGCTTGCAGAGGCATGGTGACCAGGAGCAGGAGGTAACTCAAGGAGTCCAGGGAAATGAAAAGGATGGATAGCTGAGAAAAAGTATCAAAGTACAGACCTTGTGAGATGCCATGAAGTTCGTTTCTTACATAAGAACACTTTCACATGTAAAGACTAATTAATGTGTCAGGTAAAAGTCAGTTTTGCACAAATACATTAGGCTAGGACTGGCCACTCCCTTAACATGCATTTGAAATAAAAGCAAGTATGGCAGCTTGCCTGAAGATTGCTTTGTTGAGGTATTCAGCATGTGTTCTGTGAATTTCTTCCAGGTTGCCCACAGAAGACAGTTTGTTTCCAAATTCACACCATGTAACATGAAGGATCTGATTAGCAATGTAACCTTGAATTACTTTCACAAAATGCTGCATCTCATGTTTATATAGCTGGAGCTGTCGAAACTGGACGGAATTTGACGCACGACTCACTAAAGCTGAAAATAAAAGCAGAAATATATTATCTGCCACAGAGACCATCTAAAATCAGAATTTTTTAAGGAATTTAGCTTTTTATTAGTAGAGTCTATTCCTGTTTAAAATGCCTTCAGCACCCTCTGCTAGACAATTGCTTATATACAGTCATATCAAACTCCAAAAGCCACAATTTTCTCAGAACATCTTCCTTTGCATTTTGAACAGGATGCTCTCTTTCACTAGTCACACTCACCAGTGCGCTTCAAGTGAAACCAAACATCCTTGAGAGTCCACACCATGTGCTTCAGCTGAAGCAAAAAGGAGAAAATCTTGTTGTATTTATTCATGCAGCTCTCAGTAATGACAATGTTCAGAGGCCAGTCAACCTACAAGAAACAACAGTGCTGATCATACTACATTTTTTGTTAGAAATTATAACATTATTTAAAATACAAGTATTTCAACAATTATTATGCATTTTAATAATGCAATGCAATGGGCAGGCTAAGTAAATCCTGTAGTTTCCATTACACATTATTTTACTCGGTTCTTAGATACTGTATTCTTATTAACATATTCACTTCACCACTGTGCATAAGAACCATGGCATAAGTGCAGTATTCTACCTTGCTCCATGACCTCTTACCTTGTACCTGAGCTCTAAGCAGCTCAGAGCATCTGGTGCATTGGGTGTGAACATTTCTGGGAGATACTTGAGGGCAAAAGAAAGATTGGAAGCAAGCTGGGTGTCACCATGAAGACTGTACTGTAGTGCTTTATTTAGGATAGAATTAAGAACCAGTGGATTCAGCAATTCACCAGGTGTTTGTCCTGATCCAAGCTAGGGATAAAAAAACAAACCACTAATTACACCATATTAATAAAAAAGTCTTGGCTCTTGAACACAGGTGAATTAAAGCACAATGATAAAGTGGTGACTGCCCTGCCTTGATTGGAAGTTTTTACTTCTGCCATAGGGATGCATGAACAGCATAAGAAGCAACTTCTGAACTATTTTCTGTTCACAGCCTGAAGGGTAATCTCATACCTACACTGATTTATTTTCATATGTCTGCTGTGGTTCAGTTCCTCCTGCAGGGAATAGAGTCTTTAGAAAGCCAGGGACCCAAGGAATTTATCTGACTTGAATCTGCCTGTCTCATCACCTCAGCACTCTCAGAGGTTTACAAATAAAGCTATTCATCAAGTCTAAATCCCCAAGTGCTCTCCCTAGTTGGGTCTAAAGCATTTTCAGAACTCAGAAAAATGCATTAACTCTCCTACAGCTGCCTATCTCCATGGGCAACAATCTGAATCAACCCAGGCTATCTGTCCTACCTTGCTGTCTTCCCCATGAACACAGCAGTAAGTCATGAAAACACTGCCTCATTAGAGGGCCAGCACTCTCTTCACATGGCCTCCCCTCTGCTCTCTAGCTGAGGATATTTAAGGTAAGAGTAGGTAGTTTGCAACACAGTGGGCAGCTTTCCATTGGATTTTAGCAAATGGCAACAGGCTCTTCCAGCCTTGCTGCCAGCAGACAGGAGGGGACAGCAATAGTGCAGCAGTTTTCACAGGAAAGAGTGAAGAACCCTTCCAGGAGTGCTTATCTGTCCAAGACCTTTTTTCTCCATCCTTACAACATTAACAGAGTTCCTTGCTACAGACTTCTTGACACAGCACAACAGAGGAAAGCTCCACAAGCCAGGATTCCAGTTCACACCATTCTCTCATTCCCATCCAAATCAATTCAGAGGCATGAAGGCAAAGCAGACAACCCAAACCCTGGGGTTAAGATAACAAAGCAAATACCTTCTCAAACAACAGGTCACTGAGTGACTGAGCAAACTCCCCATCTTCCATTAACAAAAAGTGTCTCAGTGCTTCAAAATGCTTCTCTACATTCAGCTCCACAAAGTAGTAATCAACTATTGCTTTGTTCACAAGAGAAACACTAAGAATAAAAACACAGAAAAGGTATTACACTTACATGCAACTCCTTCCTTACTGTTAACAATCAGCTTTGGCTACATCAGATTAATGCTCCAGTACTTAACCCTGCTATCTAAGATGTTATTCATATAGGCAAAAAACATGAGACAAAAAATCCTCATCCATTATATACCAGAATTTAAACCTACCACTTCAGGTAATTGGGTTCTGAAAAACACTGGGGAAGTATTTTCAGACTGGTTACACACAGTGATCTTTGGAATATGCTGCTGGACCTGGATCAACATTTTATCAATAGCATTCTGATCTCTGTCACCTACACAAATTAAAAGACTATTAAATCCCCAGTAAGAATATACTAATTGAAAAAACTCTGACACCAGATATTAAGATCTATACTATAGTTTAGTATCTAGATCTATACACAGCCTACAGTACTGTGTAGGTATTCAATCTAGCTCTAAATAATTTAACTTGCCTAGCAGGGATAGGGTTATTCTGGCAGCACAAAAACTCAGGCTCAGTTTGCTGAATGTGTGAATCTGTACACAGATCATTCTGGTAGCCAACCAGGTGTTTAAAATAAGGTTAGCCAATAACTTCTTTCTACATTGCACCAAACTTTGAGTATAGCACACTGAGAACTAGCAGATGGAAACTTAAAGGAAAGCAGATTCTAAAAAAAGTGTCTGTGAGTAACTGTTTTCATGACAAAAGCTAATCTTGTACAAAGTAACAAAAACTTTTATTTAAAATATTATTAGATATACTAATTAAACCATCCAACACGTATGTGGTTTCCTTATATATTCCAATGGTTACAAGAACTGCTTCCATTATACCTCAAAACAGCATTGAAGCTGGAGTTCCCACATAAGCATGAAATATACCCTGATCAATATGAGATTTCAAGAATTTAAAGATTTTTTTTACTCCCTTCGCTTTCATCTTTCAAATATAAACTAGAACACATATTATAAAGAGTACACCATCTTTTTAAAAGAACAAGAAAACTAATGGTGTCAAAATCACTGCTGCATAATCTACAAGACTTCCCCCTGAGTGCTTATATTCCAAACACACATTCACATTTTTAATTTGCACATAAATGTCTAAGTTTATGTTATTATTTATCATGCAGATCTGATCTTTTTAATTACTAATGGACCATTTACTGAATTACTTCTAGGACCTAAGAGCAAATTTAACACATCTATGTGCAACTCCTTTAATTGCAAAATTAATTGCAAAATCCTAACAAATACTCACTGAGATACAAGTGGAGCAGTAATAGAACGTTTCATCAGCACTGGCAGAGACAAGAGCTCACTCAGCTGTACAGCAGTTTCATCTGTTGCAGACTGCACTGTAGGGTCCACAGGAAATGTGTATGATCTTGGTATCACGTGATGCAAGAGATGAGAAACTGGTGGCTCTGCTACATTTAAAAATACACAAATAATATAAGTTATTACAGTTAAGAAGCTTAATAATATGTACCTATCAAACTCTGTATACAAACACCTCTAGGTTAGAAAATCCTAACATGTCAAAATGTATTTCTCATCTTTGTGCCTTGGAGCAAATTGTTTGGCTATTGCAGTTCCTAACATTGGTAATTCACAGCATTCAGCTTTCTAGCTCAAATTCATCACATCTTCTATTGATCTACTATTCCAGCAGTTCTACTCACACATCAAATCATAACTATCTTGATACTTTTCAATACAATACTGATCAGATAAGGCTTTCAAATAAGCTTGTTCTTTCTTCCATGCATCTTCCTCTTCCCCTTCTCTCTCCTTGGTTGTGGCAGCATTAGCTTCAGAAGATAAAGTTTCTTGAGGCACGGTATCTTGAGAAATGGCCTTTTCAGGTTCTTCTTTCTAAAATTCATGAATGGACAAATTTTATGAGAGATGTTGGCTTTGTCAGTTCAGGCTTAATGTGTTCCTACAGGTAACTGCCTAGCTGTTCCAATGAAAAGAGAAGAGCCTACTCACCTGTGTGTTTCAGACATGTAGAAACAATATGATTTTACAGCAACTACTAGATCAAGAGAGGAATTTACTACCTTAACTATCTGTTCAATTTTTCAAAAGAAAAATAAGTCCTCTCAACAACCACTTTTGTTTCTTACCTGTAAGCTCTGTGTGGAATCTGGAGAAGGGTCCTTGTTGACAACATCTGCAATTACTGTAAATGCAATTAAAGTCAGCATTTACTTAGACCTGCTTATAATACTTGGTTCATACCTCAGATCTGCTCCTAAAGCAGTTCAAGATTCCTGTATAAACTATCACAGAAACAACCACACCAATAACAGTACCTCCCCATAGCCCCACCCAGGTAGTTTTATGCATGTTCTCTACTTAAGGACCCTAAAGGTCCTGTTTCACAAAATTTCAGGCTAAAAGTTTCATTTTTTAATGCTCTGCTTCTTGCATATAGGAGACAAGTCTAAGCTCAAATTCTTTCCTCTGAATTCTAGCACTATATGAAAAGTAATGCAAGGAATTAAGTGGAATAAGGAAGAAAGGACCCATTTAGAAAATAAACATTTGGAGTTACTTTCACAAGCCCTTAAACAAATGCTGACTGAATAAACCTAATTTTATTTTACCTTCTTCTTTCTTTTCTATTGTATTTTCCTTTTTATCATCTTTAATATTAGCATCAGGAGAGTCTGTAACACTGTCAGATATCTGTGACTGAGGCAAAGTCTCTTCCTTAACTTGCGATGGTTTTGCATCCTTCCTGCCCCCTTCAGCAGGAGAGGACTCCTCACTGTACAGAAGTGTCTGAACTGTGGAGTGGGACGAAGAACCCGAAATGGCTTTACGATGAGGTATGGGATCACTTTCTGTAGATGGGGCCCACTTCCCTATTTGGATGCTAGACTGGGATGCGTGCCCAAAGGGGCTCAAACGGGATTTCAAAGGCTCTGCATCCGACACCAGCTCTCCAATTTTGATGTGTGACTGCGAGGCGTGCCCGTGGATGTTCCAACGAGGCCTGGCTGAGGCCACCTCTGACACGTTTTCGCCAATCTTGATATTGGCATCAGATGCGTGACCATGGCTGCTCCATCGAGGCCTTGAAGGAGCTACATTTGACACATACTCTCCAATCTTAATATTGGCTTCTGAAGCGTGTCCATGGATGTTCCACCTGGGCCTTGAGGGCTCTATCTCTGAAGCATATTCCCCAATTTTAATATGAGCTTCAGAAACATGCCCATGAATATTCCATCGAGGTCGTCTAGACTCAACTTCAGAAGTACAGCTGCTGCTTTTTATGTGGGAATCTGAAGAATGCCCATGAGGACTTGAACGTGGCTGGTAAGTGTCCACTTGAGGTACGTATTCTCCCACTCTAATGTTGGCATCAGATGCATGTCCATGAATATTCCAGCGAGGCCTTCTGCTGTCCACATCAAATACGTTTTCCCCAACTCTGCCATGTCCCTGCCAAGCTGCAGATGGTCTGAGAACTGTACTGAAATCATACTCGCTCTGCTGATGCAATGGTGCACTGTCTTCTTCTGGTGCACCTCTCACAACAGCCTGACTTTCACTCACTTGCGAAGTCTCAGAAAGATCTGAGTTAATATTTTGGAACGCTTCATCTAGCAAAGATCCTTGCATCCTGACGGCAACAGACTGTTCATCTTGTGACTTTGATAAGAAATCTTCTATATTCACATTGGATTCAGGCAAAGACTCAGCACTGTATAGAGAACTGCATGCTTTCTTTGAATTTTGGAGATTGCTTTCAGATCCTGCTGCTTTAGGCTGAAAATGCTCATCAGCATCATGATTTGCTGGCTCTGGCACAGGCAGTGCTTTGTCAGCAGAAGCAGCATATCCCTGTTCAGTCTCAGATTCTTCTCTGCCAACTGTCTCATCAGAAGGCAGAGGTTTCACAAAAGACTCCTAAAAAAGAAATAATTATTACACTGTATGGTTGGTCACATATCAACCTACTAATTAAGGTATTACTTTATTACAGGATTAAAAATTTCCCAATTTTTCTGATGAGCACATAAATGATAACTACTCACCTTGCTGTTGCAGTGAACCTTGTGTTTACTGAACTGAAATGAACGATGGAATTAAGTCCCTTTAGGGAAACCTGGAACAGCAACTTGAAGTTTATGTAAGAAAATAAACTCACTTGTGAAGGTGGCTCTTTCTCAACAGGGGTTTTATCCAAAGCCAACTGGCACTGTTTATAAGGAATAATATCCAATTTTCTCCTGTAGCTTCCCTCTGGAAGTTTTTCAAGCATTTCCTACAAATTAAAAAAAAAGAAAAAAGTCTTTAAGTACCAAGTATCAAATTATCTAATTTAGACTTCTTAAATCTTTTTAGAAGGTACCTCAATGTGTTTTTGATCTTCTAACAGAAACTTAAGACGGGCTGTTTCCAACTTGTGGCGCTGGATTTTCCATAATTTTCTTTGTTCCCTGCGGGCTGCATCATCAGAAAGTTTGCTATAATGGTCAATTAATTCCTGCCTAAATGAAGGTAAAAAGAAAGCCAAGTTACAGATTTTTGCACACTGATTTTCATCTTCCCATCCAAAGAATAAAACTTTTTAGCACTTCAGAACTGAGAACTGGTTCTTAAAATGTAGAAGCCAGAGGCTTCAGTCACAGAATAAACAGGTGGAAAACACAGGACTGCATTTTTAGTCAACATGTATTTCTGTAACTATTCTTAGTAGGTAATTCATTTGGTTTAAGTAATTTTAGATGAAACAGAAGAAAGTGAAATATCAATCTAACTCCAACTGCTTTTTACTTCTGCTTTGACATACATGTGACCATTTTTGCTGTGGGCTCCGCTTTTAAATTTTAAGATGCAGTCAATTTTTTTCTTGAAATTTTTATAATAGCAAAACCCAGACTGCATAGGGTTGGCACAAATCAGTGGGTCTCAGATTTTATGGCCACTAACCATTTGTAATAAAATTGCTCATAGACTGCCAAAAATTCTTACATCCATCTTCTAACTGCAAATATTATCCTTGTAGAACAAAGTCTGCAAACTACTGTGAATTCTAACATACAATTATTTTTTCCTGAGATTTTTATGATAATTTTGAAGACAACTCAGATACATTTACCTTGCCTTTTTTTCCAGTTCTTCTTCTAAAGCTTTGAGTCTTTTTTCTCTCTCTCTGAGCTCTCGGGCATAGCTGAAATCATCATCAATCTCCTCCTGCTTTATCGCAAGACGACGCTGCATAAATATTTAACACTTTTAAAAGCTGTTCCCAACACCAGGTGTAACACACACATCTACAAGAAGTTCTTATTTGTACACCATGAGCTACTAATTCAACTTCAGTACAACATATCCATTCATTTATTTGCCTAAGAAATATAGTCTGCCTCTAGAATGGCAGAGAGATACCTCTTGGTCCTTTGCAAACTGTTCCTTCAGCTTCTGAAACTGTTCCCGTTTCTTTGCATCCAAAGCCATTCGTTCTGATATTTGTTTGTCTGTATTAAAACAAAGATTCTGTTAGTTTACATTAACAAACTCACCAGAGAGCACCTAAAATGCCACTATAACTTACCACTAATGGCTTTCAGTACTTTGCTAGCAGTTTCCCGAGCATGAACAATTAATTCTTGTTTGGCTATTTCCATGCGCAAGTCCTAAAAATAAAATAAAATAAAATAAAATTTAAAAAAAAAAGCCAAGGTGGAATTTTTTCTATTATTTTAGACTTGAAATACACTGATACACAGTTGCAAAGACAGATGCACATTTTATAATGGTTATTAATCAATTAATACAACAAAAATAGAAATAAAACAAGTAAATGCAAAATCTACAAACTAGTCTTGAAAGTTAATACTCCAGACTTTAAAACAAACTAATTCTATCTGATATATAAACTAAATTGATGGAATCTGAAGGCCAGAATTGTCTTTGTAGTTAAAATGTTCTGAAAAAACAATTAGCCATGGAAATCACAAACAGTCTTATCTGGTTACTAATTAGCTTATCTCATTTGTTAAATCAGAATCTAAGTCTTTTCAGCAAGAGGACAAATCTCCTAATGTAAAGAACTAAGATCAATGTCTAACATTTAATATATGAAAAGGCTAAAAAATGTCAACACACCACCTATACTTTTAAAAGCTATATTACATAATTTCAATATTTAATAATTTTTATTTGCTGCAATTAAAACTGTAATTTACCCATTAAAAATCTGACTGTAAATACAAATTCTTGAGAGGTTATAACAAAAATGAAAATTTATTATTTTTAAAAAATCATAATGAGGTATTTGTTCCTTTATTCATTTACCTTTTCCTCCTTGCTTATGGAACTGTACCGGGCAATTCTTTCCATTCGACCTACGTACACTGCACAATCTCTCTCTATTTCTTTCAGTTCTTCAAGGGAAAAAATAACTGAAATCCGGGGAACAGGTATATCTGACCAACATATATAATGCTGAAAAATGAGAGATTTCCTTTTACATACATTTTAAATATTATGAATTCACATTATACATTTTTTTAACTTAGACCTGCTTCACAAAACCTCCATACAGGATCTATTTCACTTGAGGTATTAGGCTTATATGTGACACCACACAGCTGACAATGAGCTGCTCTGCTCTGCTGAGACCAAGCAGCTCTGATGTTAAGGAGAACACTTGCTACCTGGGAATGTTTACAGACTTTACAGACTTTAGACACCTCTCTGGTTGTTTTATTTTTGGACATATAGAGAGAAGACTCAAAGTAGTTGAACATGCTTTTCTTATCAAGGACAAGAATCGTTCTGCAAAATACCAATAAACAGAACTTTTTGAAAATGCAGTGATACAACTGAAAGAGCTGTGCAGAACTGAGCCATGACCTGGTAAGAGTGAGGCAGTTTTAGACCAAAAAGGAGTAGTGCAAGAAGTGGAAGGCACTTGTTTGAATACCACAAACATTTCTGCTTTCAATACAAAGAAAAAAATACATAATGTACATTGTATACAATAAATCTGATGGTGTTGAAATGTACATTTCTGCAGTGAGGTGGTAGCAAGTAGAGTGGATAATCAGCTCACAAGTATCTGAGAGCAAGTAATTGCCTCTCATCATCCTACTTACATAATACCAAGTTTTGTTAAAGGAGTGAACTTGCTAAAAACCTGCACTCCTGCTCTAGAGAGTAATGTAATAGGACGGAAGCAACCCAAAACTTACCCTAGGACAGCACAATTTCAGCAAGTTTATGGTTTTCCCACATATGTATACATCATTAGCAATATGCTTAAGAAATACAGGGACACAGTCTTCTACTTCTTTTGAAATCAAAACATAACCATGAGTCCAGTAATGTTTATCTGTGTAACAAAAAGATGGAAATACATATTTTAGTTATTTAATTAACAGCACAAATTATACTAATTAGAAATGCTCCATATATTTATACTGTACCTCTGAAACAAAGATAATCCTCATTCACCTGAATCATAAATTCTCCATAAACATCTCTGAACACACCACTATATACCCAATCATAGATAAATCTGAAAAAAAAATTGTACAGTGTTGAAAATCAATTCTCTTGCATTCTCTTCTTTATTATAACCAAGGAGTTAGTATGCTCTTTAAAATCCCAAAAGACACAAGATATAGGCAGGTTAAAAGCCATCAATTAAGTGTTGTGACACTGACATTTAAATATACAGGAAATTGTGGCTCTACACTTTTCTTAAACTATTTTTAATAGACTATTTTAGTGATAATTAGTTTAGATAAGAGAACAGTGCCTCAATTAAAACAATTATTTTATTCCTGCACATCAATTTACTAAATATATATAAAAATATACAGAAAACTTTGCAGCACATCAAGGGCACAGCAAGAGAAAAGCAGAAAGGATTTGTTTTAAACAGTGGTAATTTCAGCAGAGAGAAACTAAAAGGGTATAAAATAAAGATGCAATACCAAGTACTTTTTCCCCAGACCCAGAGACATTTTTATATATATGCAATGATGAGAACTACTATTTTGGCATATTTATTCATGCTTTTTCATATTTTTTCTGTGTGAGTCAAACTTTTGAAGAAATAAAAAACCCACTACTTTTATACAATCTGAGGCTATAGATAAAAAGGCTCAGAGGTCCTGGGAGATTTTTTTTTTTTAAATTAACACTGTGCAACAAAGAGGAAGCATTTAACACAGCAACCTCTGCTCAACTTCAAGGTTGCAAGTAAAAAGTTAAGCACTTTTAAATTGTTAAATCTGATGCTTCTGTGGTTTATTTGAGCAACAACTTGTATTATTTAATTTCCTTCAGGTTAATAAATGAGTGGGTAACTTTATGCAGATAATAGAGGCTTCCTTCCAGGGTAGTCCTGATCATGTATAATTGATGCTTCGATAGAAATCTGCAGCAAATTTAGGAATCAATGCAGCAATCCAGATTTTTTTAGGTTCCATGTGATGCCCTTGGTATTTCAGAAATCCGACTTCCTTCTATAAATAGCGGGGTAAGAGCTGTGAAGATATTTCAGTGAGGCTTCTGGTAAATCTGAAATTAAATTTCTCCGAAGATAATTTCATGTAGAAGGAAGAAAACACAAGAAGGGTGGCCATGGGAGGAATCTTAAATTTAGAGTATTTTGGCAGATTTTTGTTTTCTCTTGTATTTTTACATCTATTATGTAACATTGCAAACTGATGATGGACTACAGCTATAATTCCTGTAAATAGCTATTAAAAAATTTACCATCTCTTCAGATGTCTGTAAACTAATAATTTTTTAATTGATGAGCACTGCTTAACAAAATTGTTGCAATCCAAGGAACTCTACTTTTAATTACTCCTATTATCAGTTAGTTATATGTACTTAATGAACAACAGATATTTTATTCATTTTCGCTTACTAAAAAGCCCACAACAAAAAGACAGTGGAAAAAAGCATGAACTTCCCCAGTTTGTACAATAAAAGAAACTTGTCAGTTTCCAGTTTTGGGATTTTAACTGAGGTATGAGATAAAAAAAAAAGTTTATCCAAATCTTATATTTCAGTATGAACTTCCAAGACCAGCAGCACGAATTAAGTCTTATTTACACATATTTATTTACTAATCTAGCCACACATAACTCCTTACTTTGTTACTTAGCTAAGAGGGTCAGAACAGCAAAATTAACCAATTTTAATATATACTGCATATACAGACATGTATTTTTTACTGAAATTATTAAAAGCCACCGTTAAACACGCAGAGTCACTCACCACATTACCAATTCATAATTCTTAAACTCAGTTATGCAGAGAACAAACAGTATGGACACACCTTGTGTATGGTTCACAGCTTGTCTTCAATAAAGAGAGAAGAACTGGATAATGCTCATTGCTACAATTGTTGAGAGCCTCTTTGTACAGATATGAAAGCAATTTAACACCCTAAAAATGAAAAATATTTTAACATTAGGCAACACATTTCACAACATCTTTAATAACAAAAATACATGGCTTGACATATTTCACTAGACTCAGAAGGCAGTTTCATCTCATGTCCTCCATCTATTTGCAGTTAAGATCACTTTACCTGAGCAAGTTACCCCAAGCTCACTTTATCATCTCTAGAGTGAGACAGGTATGTTTAGAGTTGGATTCACATGACTAGAAGGCTTATTTTGAGCCCTTTGTTTATTACAGGAATTGAAAACCCTGAACAAATTTCCATATGTTTAAGTATCTGGAGAAAGGACTATAGTGCTTTAACTGGAGGTCCAGGATCATAGCTTTGCTAGCAGAGAGACCAGCACTAAATATTTAATGTAAAATTCAACATATTTGAAGAATATTAACATTGAAACCCAAAACAAACATAAAAATATCAAACAAAAAATCACCGTAGGAAATGAAGCTCCACCAGCTCCACCACTGATCCCCAGTGCTGTCGTTCCTATGCCACACAGTTCAGCTAAATACCTAAAAAACAGTATTAAAACATATATAAAAACTTCAACCAGGAGTCTCCAAGATCAGTTATGAACTTTGCTAAATTTCAATATTGTACAACAATCACACTCAATCTGCTGAATGATAACAGGCATAAGAAAGAAACTGAGTAGAAAGACCTTGTATGTTTTCCCTCGAATAGACTGGATATAAAAAAATTCTGTAAAACAGAGGAAAAATACTGACAGACTAAATAAGAATGCCCATGTAATATGGCCTTCTCAGTGTATATGCACTTTTTCTGCAAGGAAAAGCTTAAACATTCAATACCATTCTCTTACCTCAGCTGACGACCTAATTTCCTGAATAGAAAGCTGATTGTTAGAAGACTCAAAGTCGGAGGTGTTGACAAAACACAGGCTCGGTAATATTGAAGATACTTTCTCAGTCCACTTGTGAATGCCTGGCATGAACAGAAAATACTTAAAGTCTGACTGTGAAAGTTGTTAACAGTCTATCAATGTCTCTCATCAATTGCATCAGCATGAAAAACAAACCTTTTAGTAAAATAAATGGCATATGCTGGTAAGGGAGACTTGAACTCTAAAGTAAGGGGCGAGTGAGGGTCCATGCAACTTCAGACATTGCAATGAGCCAGATGACTCCTCTGTACTCTTCACACATGCAGTGCATAGAGCCTGGAGCCATGCATAGTGAAATAAAGCATCTTGGCTCAGATTCTTTGACTTGTCCTTTGAGGAGCTCCTCAATCTCTATAATACCAACCCAGGGAAACCTGCTTCCTTACTTTTGTGCCTAAACTGGATACTGCAAAACACTTATCTAGGACTTTATCCAACAGAGAAACCTTCTTAACAGAAATTGAATAACATTGCTGTAATTCAAATATTCAGCATGAATAGGTTTTCATAACTAACCCTAACTTAATTCTATGCATTAGGAAGAGATTAAATCACCAGACATTACAGAGTGCACATATAGCTCAACATAATATGCAGAGGACTGACATGGAAAATTTGTACTTAATTTTGAACCAAGGGAAAAGTAAAAAAAAAAAGAAGTAAAAAGTAAAGCTATTCAATACCATATTTTTATACCTCAGTTTTTATTTTTGAAAAACATATTTATATATATAGTGTACTAAGAAAGTTCATGTATTCTAATTTTATACATCTTTCTGTATAAATAAGTAATGTTTTTAAAGCATTTAAAAATTTTAATTCTTTAGTCCACAACAGAACAATATTACTAAACAAAAGGTAACAAAGACATTTTACTGCATGTTTCAGTGGAAGCAAGCCCTCAGCACAGAGAGCTGTGATTTAAATACATCAGCACTGTTCCTTGCTGACCTGGGATGGAGCACTACACTAAAAATACTCTGCAGTTTTGCAGAATGCAGAAATTCCAGCTTTACATTAAATCAGTGACCTTCTCTACCTCAGATAATTGGCCCATTAAACCCAGTTGATTTAATGCAATTGTTTTACCTGAAACACAAGTCCTTTGCTGTATGAGGAATCCAAAACTGGCTGAAGAGAAAAGCGACTGAGCCGTGTGTAATAGGTTCCATACTCTGCAACTTCTGAGAGCAGGTTATGCATTGTCTCTGGTGATGTGCCAGACACATACACCCCCTCCTTTATCACAAAGGACTGAGCAGCCTAAGAGGATACAGGGAGGAAAGAAAAGAAAAGGCAGGCAGATTCAATGATTTCTAGAGCTCTATTCTGATTTAAAATAGCAAACACACACAAAAATAATAGCAGACAAATTCTCAGTTTAGATACTCAGGTGACTGAGACTATATAGCTAGGACAGTGAGACAAACATGGAATTGTAGCAAAATTGGAGGAGTAGGAATGATGCTTTAAAATTTACAGAATAAGACTCTTTACTTAATTCCTTAAAGAAAATCCAATTCTACAAAATTATTTACACACCTATTTTCAAGTAGTCATAAACCTATTTTCCCATTAGAGAACTACAAATACACTTAGCCTATTCCAGTAACATAATTACTGCATTACATAAATACTGCCCTGTTGACATTAGGCAACATTCAACTTCTTAACACGAGCCACAACTGCAAGATCTCAGCAGAAATAAATGTATTGAAGATTCCTCTATGAAGGAAACCAAAAATATTTGACTAGGAAAGGCAGATAAAAAATCTTCCCTACCTGATTGAGTGAAAATGTGGTGGATACCACACCAATGAGGACATTCAAGACATCCTTAACCAGTTCAGGTTCTTTCACCAGCACGAGCTGAGGAAGCTGAAGTACAGTATTAGCAAACAGCTGCAATTCCCCTTCTCGAAGTTTGTAAAATTTGTCAAAAGCTTCTCTCCCAGCTTCAGTAAGATACGGTTCCTCTTTTTTACCAGGTGGGCTGTGGCAGAGTAAACACAACATGACAAGGTAATTGCGTGAAAAGAAGGAAATACATCTCATACAGGAAGAAAAAAGCATTTCAGAGTTTTGCACAGACAGAATTCCTCACAGAAAAGTTACTTGTAATATACATTTGTAAGGGAACGTGCAGTCAATGAAACCAGAGCTCAAACTCAGTGCAGAGAACAAATACATAAATACATAGATAATTTGAACATCAGTTCAGAGAGTCAGAATCCTTGGCACAGAACTACCAGCTGCTTTTATGGCCCTCCTTGATGCAGTTTTCACACTAGGAAAACAAGGAAAATATATGCCATATTTCCATGGTTCATTTAATGCTAATATTCAAGTAAGTTGAAGAGAAATACACTCCAACTGCTAGAATCAACTTCTATTAACACATTTTGCCTGTTTGCAGTGAAGATTACTACCCCCTCCAAAACAATTTCTATTGCCAATTCTTCCAAAAACTCTGAATGCTAGTAGCAGGTACTACACAAAATCAGTCAGGCATATGGTCTATATATGACTCTTAGACCCCTACAGTCTAAATAGCAGCAAGAAAAATTGTTTTGTTCTAGGAAAAAGCTCAAGTGGGCTACAGTGGCTTTGAAAAGTCAGAACAGTGAATTTCTGAGTTTCTGAGCTTCTAAGTCTCAGAGATAAAAAACCACTGTTCAACAATGCAACAGCACAACACTAGATTATTATTTAAAATTAAAGAAAACATACAGAGCAAAGGTTCTCCAAGAATCAGGCTCATCACTGGCCATCTGAAATCTCAGAATACCTGCCATACCTGCTTTTCCTTTTACCTTCCATTTTAGGGGAGCCAGAAACCCTTAACAGGACTGCAGAGAGCTTTCTCTCAGGAGATGCATCTTCTACTCAAAAGCCAAAAGAACTACAAGCCTAACTAGACCACCAAGAAATCTGTTATAATTTTCTCATTTGTCTACAGGATGGGGAAAGGAATACAATACTCTACAATACAGGGAGATATTTGTTTAAATCTTCTACTGCTCTACAATTACCCCTTTCTCTTTTGAAACTGAAAATATGGAATCATTTTATACTGAGACAAATTGCATAGCATGTAAGAAGTCAAAATAGTTAGAAAAATGCTGCATTTCACACAAACAGTGTTTTCCTAATCCCTTCATTTTTTGACAAAGGTGATTTTATCTCTTCCTGTGAAACTGCTGCACTCTAAGAACCAGTCTGTTGAAATCACACAACTTTTATTCCTTTATCGCTATTAATGCAGTGTATTGAAATCTGTGAATTAGACATGCTCATTTCACTATTTATACTGAGGTCATGTGGAACTATGATGCAATGCACCTTCACACATTTGCCCATGGTGCACAGTAAATTTACCAGTAAGATGAGACACATACTAGCCAATTCTTTCCCAACATCTTCGTTTGCTGGGTCCATATGTAAGCACTGCATCCCACAAGTCTATGTCTGGAGTCATGCTTGGCTCTGACTGAGAATCAGGAGTCAGATTGGATGCTGACTGGAATCCCTCATCTTCTGACTGGTCTATACTTTGGGGAACCTGTCAGAAAGAGTTCAAATGTCAGACATGGAAACATTTTACTGAAGACACATTTGTTAATGAAAAAGATGTTTTGCAATCATTCATGACCAAATGACTCAATGTGACCCAACCTCTCTCAGCTACCCTCCCATTATATCAAGCTTAAATTTTTATTGTAGGCACTCTTTTAATCTTATGAGTCTCTATAGGTATTAATGCCCATACATAAAATACAAATCACCTTCAAAATAATACACTACACTTGTTGGGGTTAAATTTTAAACTTTCTTGTTTGGCAAGCATATAGTGCTACAAATGGAGAATCTCAGGTATGGACATTCAACAATGTGTAGCATTAATACAATCATACTGCTTTACCATTTGTTCCAGGCAAAGGATCCAGGCCACAAATTCCAAATTTGTAAGCATTTTGTTAACTATGACTAACACAGTTTGTTCCCTAATTCATATGCAGAAAATCTGTAAGTGTCCAAACAGTGTATATGCCACATCCTCAACTCCCACTCAACAGGACCCATATGTGCAGAATTCTCCTCAATTTTAGTACAAGACATCCATGTAAATCACATCCATGTAAAAAGCAGCATATTCCTCAAGAAATTGCAAATTTTCCAGTGTGATAGAAAGAGGTCAGCACTAACTCAAAAAGCTTCTGCCTCCTCTAGGTTACAATTTACATCCACATGTGAGCACTGAATGGCAGAGGGCTTTTCTATTTAATGTGTTTGCCTTCAAGTTTCAATTCAAACCCTGAATTAAAGGAGTTGCAAGATCTATCCATATGTTAAGTAAAGGGAACAAGATGAGGATCTAAGGGTAGGCTATAAATAAGCCTACCTACACACAGTAAAAATGGAAAGAAAGAAGAAAAACTCTGAAAGTGTACCTAGTACTTCTACAAGAATAAGCCAGCAAAACTAAACAGAACAGACAGCAAAATGGGAAAAAGGATACAGTAGAAACTGTACACACTGAAAAGGTAATAGGACAATAGGAACTAGGCCATTAAATGGAAAAAAAAACCCCAGAAAAAATGCTTTAAGATATAACAAGCCAAGACAACAATACAGCAAGTTAGGTAATGCAATCTGAACAGCAAATCAGTACATTCAGGCAGGGATGCTTAGGCAGTCAGTCTGAGCACTGACAAGCAAGCAGCAATGCAGAGGAGCTCATCAGACCAAGCAGGCAAAAATGCAAGCGAAAGGTTGCTAGGGCAGGGAAGGTATGGATACAGCTGATGGCTTCAATTCATAAAGGCTATGGCCACATGATGGGTTTTGACACAGCTACAGGGCAAGACCAAGGTTTCTGGTATCATATATCTCCAAAAAGAATATCTGGTTCTCTGCAAAGGAAAGGATCCCTGCTCCATCTTAAATTCCAGTGCTGTAGGCTTCTATCACCAATTAAACTACTATCTACATTTTTAACTATATTTTAAAGTGACACATGAAAGCATGCATGCACTCCTTAGTCCAAACCAAATGATACCATACTTTAATTGCAAGTCCAGACAAATCTGCATTGTCAGGCACTGGTGGCAAATCCAGCTTGATGTCCATATCATAGGTGCGGCTGTGGACGAGAGCACCGAAGAGCGAGACGCGCGTTTCCTTCTCAAACTTGTCCCCAGCAGGACAGCTCTGGGAGAACAGCCCCATGGCAGGGAGCCCAGTGCCAGGGGCAGCCTCCATGATCTGCAGGGTCTGCTGAATCGTGTCGTTGAACTGACATTCTTCGTTTGTTATCAGAGACTGTATGTCAGCTTCAAACACACTCACATCATAATAATCATAACCCTGGTATTTGACATTCCTCCCAACATATTTGTTGTTCAGAAAATAGTCCTTTTTTTGTGGTACCAGCTGAGGGGGACCTGTTCCAGCAAGCTGTACTAAGAGATCTAAGACAGAATTAACTTCAGTAAATGGTAAACATTCAGCTGTTTCCAGTTCCTCCACAAGATTCTCCAGTCTATCTGCTTGAGCACCTAGGCCAGCGACTCTCAAGTTGAAAGACAGCATCAAAATTTTGTTTTTCACTGGGAGTCTGGAAACGTTTGATTGCAGCTTACGAGCCTCATCTTGAAAAAGGTTCATGAACAGGGCATTATAAGCAACCCTTTTCAAATTTTGCTTAGCCCTTCTCTTGCTGATCTTCTGCCTGCCTAAGTGAACCTTCCATGGCAAAGCTGTCAGGTGTGCTTCACACAAGTCATTGAACAGCTGTGTAATGCTCTCCATTGCAAATGGAACTGTCAGGTTTTGGCAGGTACAGTCTGGGTCTCTGATTCCATGGGAAGGAAGACCTGAAAAATATCAGAAGGAAAAAACTCATAAAGTGCATAAGAAATTGGTAAGTATGCTTTAACTTGAACTGAGACAGCCCAAAAGAAAAGAGAACTGACCTCACACACATTTAGGACATGAGCTACGAAAAACCCACTTTAACTTTTATCATCAGTGAAGTGATGGTGCAGGAAGCTTAATTTCAGATGCCAAATTTTTTTCGGCAGACTGAAATAAAAGAGAGAAGATTGTCCTGATCTAATCCCGGATTCCTGCGGGAGCACCTCCCTCCCCTCACAGTGCCTGCAGCCGCGGCCGCGCGGGGAGAGGACGCGGGCAAGACGCGGGCGGCGATGGTGACCGGGGGCGGCCGCACGGCTGGGCCGGAGGGTTCCCGCCATCCCCGGGGCACGCCGGAGCACCCACCCAGGACTGGAAGGGTGTCGGCACCCCCGGAGGAGCTGCCGGTGGCGGGGCTCACCCCGAGCATCCAGCCGGGTCCCCCCCCGAACCCCCCGCCGCCAGCAGCGCCCCGCGGGGCTGCCCGCGCCCTTCCCGCCCCCCGGGCCGAACCTGCGGCGCTCCCCGGGCAGCGGGAGCGGGACGGAGCCGCCGCCGCCTCCTCCCGCCGCCGCCGACGTCACCCGAGCGCGACCGGGCCCGCCCCGCTGCCCGCCCGCCCCGCCCCGGCGGGGGCCGAGGGAGCCCTTGGGGCCGCCCCTCAGGCCCGGCGCTGCTGCAGCGCGGCCTCGGCTCCGGCACCTCAGGCCGCGATAGGGAAAGGCCGGTTGGAGCGTTCGTGAATTTAAAGCATTCCTGCAATTCTCACCCTGAACTGCCGCGGCTCCGCTGACAAACACCTAACGGGAGTGCCAGAAAGCAATGAGCCACGCCGGGCCCGAGCAGCCTTGGGACCGTATTTACAAACAAATCTACTAACAGTACACTGTTTCCCCTCTTAATTCATGTTTTAATAAAGGCTTAGAAAAATACATTTCGAAATGCAACACTACAATTTCCATTCAACAAAGGCAGGGAAAGGGGAAAGAACTATTACTCAGAAAATGCTTTTATCATTGAAAACGCTACGTTAAAAAAAAAAAAAAAAAGGAGGAGGAGGCGTTTAGGCGAGACAGTGCGAGAGGGGAGAATGGCAAAAATCTCCTCTGTCAGGAAACAAATATCCTGTTAGGAAAAATGCCGAAGCTGAAGTTTGGCCATTGGCTGGTTTCCAATTTAAATACCTTTTTGGACCTCAAAGGCCAGTTCAAAGAAACTCTAAACTGAAACAGAACATCTTAATGCTCTTCAGCTCTTCTTTGTGAAAAATCTTTCACATAGCTTTTATTTTCTTTTGAAAGAGATTTTAATTTCAAAATGGTCAAGGAATGGGTATCATTTCCTCTCCAGCAATATCTGAAAACCAAAACAAATGAGAAGGGAAGCACTCTGAACAGTTAAAAAAGACAACTGCAAAGACAGATTTATTTATTCTGCATGATACAAAGTTATATAAAGTTGAACCCAGTAGGAACACCAGTATAAACATCATTTGAAGTGCCTGAAATCAAAAGGTCAAATTATTGAAGTCAATAACAAAAAAGTGCTCTTGAATATTATCCCTAAATCACACCTGGAATACTACAAAACAAGGGCATATCATGGCTATTGCCTTGGGATGCTTGTTTAATTTTGAGAATTTACATGATGTGGCCTTAGGCAACTACTAAGTCTCTGGAGATTTGGAGTTCTTATTTGTTATACTGATAATTTATGCTTGAAAAGAGGGCAGAGTGAAGTCCTCATATTTTCCTTTTCTTCTTTGCAAAATGATTCTGAAGTGAAATCAATTTCTGGACGTCCCATCATTCACTGAAAAGAACAGCAGTAAGGAAACTAGTTATTAACCAAGCTCATACCACATTCCTGGCCCCACAAGAATATTTTTATTGGAACCAGACCCCTGGTATTGGGCATTTCTTCTGAAAGATAGAATGAAGTTTTCTTTTAGAGATGCCCACCTGGATCACTGTTTGGTTTTCTTTTTGAAAAAGAGAAGTCCTTCAGCAAAAAAATATTTCTGGACAAGTATACTTGAAAACATACATACCTGCCTGGCCTGATTCCTCTACAAATGCAGCGCCTGATCTCCAGCTCTTTGTAACTGTACTTGCAGCATGACTAATCATTATGGAGTTATTCGTGGACAAGTTAAACATTTTAAAATATCATCTGGTTTGGTACTATACTCAGAAAACACATCAGCAATAAAAGCCAGGGCACATCACGTTACCCATTCTTTAAGCACATATTTTGGCAATTTCATTCCAAAATTTTGAAGTAACAGTATTCTAAGTCCCAAGGGTGCAGCTGCTATGCTATGAAATGTGGTGCTTTCCAGCTCAAGTGGCAGAATTAGAAGCATTCAGGGTTTCACCATTAGAAACATTCAGAGATTCACATTAGATCAATCTGGTCCCACTGACATACAGGACTCAGCTGTATTTATAGATCATCTTTTCAGAAGCTTACAGTATATAAGAGTTAAAGATAAAATCAGACAACTTACCTGAACACTGAAGCATTTTCCATTCCTGCTGAAACTGGTCTCTTAATGCTTTTATTTTATTTACTTTTTCTTGGATAGGAGGAACATAAATTCCAAAGGGAGGTGTAGAAGCACCCACTAATGCTTTGGCTACACTTTGCATTAAACTTATCTCTGTGTCCTAATTAGGAAGAAAAAATACTCCTGTGAACCAAGCTCTCTTTGCTTCAATGATACATGAAATATTTTAAAACAAGCTTTTGTAATTCAATTGCTAGCATTAGTACTAAGAATGAGGAACCTCCCATTTACAAAAAAAATGTGTTAAAATGGAGTTTTTTTCTGAAAAATGTAAATGAATTTTCATCCGTTGTTGTAAAACTTGTTTCTTTCAAATGGAGAAAGAATCTCACTTTTCTCTTTATGACTGAAATGCTGGATTAAGGACAGAAAATAAGGACAGAAATAATGCTGGGTTAAGGGGAGCATGGAGCTTGCTTACTTCATGCCTCATTTACTTTCTATGAGTGGAAAATAGTAATGTATTTTGCTTATTCCAGAAGTTTACTCTTTTTGACTTCTCACAGTCTAAATCAGTATCATTTCCTTGCAGAAATTGGATTTGAAATGTTGATGCTATATGAAGAGTATATTTGGAAGACTGTAACATTATTTTGTTTTTAAGAGATAGAAGCATTTTTTCAAATACTCTAAAAAGCCATGCACATGCATTAGAAAATCATGATCCTGTTATGGAACTACCTGCAGAGTACCAATAAAAAAGTATCAATCTTTTTTTTAAACATGTATGCCTAATATCCTTTTATTGTCTGTGTTTACACTTCAGAATAGCAGTAATTCTCTCGATTTCATACTCTAATTAGTAGTGTGCAAATACATTATTTTTGAATACTGCATATCAGTGTACAAATTATTTTAGCTTAGCCAATTTATGTATCAGCATTGTAAATTAAACAACATTTGAGAAAACTACAGAATAAATTATGTCAAAAATCTACTTAATTGGAGGCTTAATGAATAGCATGGGGAACAGATTAGAATAAGCATACATGAACAATTTTTTGTTGTTTCTCACTGAAGAAGAACTAGAAGGCACAAAAGTAACCAAAAGTTACTGTTATATAGATCACACAGAGAAACTGTGTTACTCACAACCACAGGATGCTGGAGAGGCCAAGAGTGGAAATTGAGTTCTTTATGTGACTAGACAAACTCACTGACACTGATCACTGCTCTGGATACAGCCTCCAACTTCTAAATTCAAGCATCCTTAATGTGGTAGCATATGGAAAAAGCCTAGGAAAAGTTCCTATATTTTTTATTTTCTTTCCCATGCTCTCTACCTGAAACACTAAGCTGGGGTACCCTGGCCCTCAATTATGTATTATCCCAATTAAGTTCACTTGAAGGCTATGTGCCCTTCTGATTTGTGTTCTGCAGGCTGGAAGTTGTGTGTGACAAAACATAGCACCAGGGAGAGGAGAGGAAATGTAGTGGTCTGCTATGAACAGAACAGCAGGCTGCTTTCAGTCACACTTGATGGAAAGAGGCCAGATTATTTAACAGACAGGAAGTGCCTCTTTCCAGGAGATGAATGAGTTGTGGATCTCAGATAAAAATGGAAGTTGTGGCAAATTGACAGAACATCTATGGTACACAGACATAACCATGGGTTATGCTTTGTGTTCACGCCTCTGCTTCCCCACTGCAGGCTGCCACAACTGCCCACAGCTCAGTGTGCAACTGTCCTTGTCTTGTTCTCAGGACAGACAGAACCCTGGACAGTTTGTGCTGTGACCCCAGGGGTACCAAATACAGCATGAATACAGCCAGTATTTTGTACTGGGCAGCTTGAAGCAGTTCCTACCAGTATCTCTGCCAGACAATTTGAGGTACCATGGCTCAGCACCACTTCTTACCTCAATCACAGCAAAAACTCGAGACTCAGCCAACCCTCGTAGCAAAGCAACAAGCAGAGAAATACCACTTATTCCAAGGCTCCTGTTTGGTCCAACAGCTATTACTGTTAGGTTTGGTTGATAACTATATGCTACAGGAAGAATAAATCCAAGTACAGCAGAAAAGAAATCATTTCCTCCAGCATCCTTTAACAACAACAACAACAAATTGGTTAGCACAAATATAAAGCCCCAGATTTCCAGATATAAAACAAAACAGAAAGATGACTCTCATAAACCTTTTGATTGGTCTAGGAAACAAGATACTGATCTATTTTCCCAGCAATTTTTATATTAAACATGCAGGATTATTCATCCTTTCCTTAGTGTCTTTGCAGTGTAACTCTGCCTTGCTGAAGATGAACTGCAGTAACTATGGAAGGTTTCCTCAAACCTATGCATTCTAATATACTCTAAAGCTCTGAGAAGGAGTAGTAACCTGGCAAGGGCAAAAAAAGGAAAAAAATGTCAAAGGTCCAAAGTGGAGCAAGGGGGGCAATTCTCAATGTAATTTTATATATTTCTAAATATATTATTTCTGTTAAAAAAATTTTCTCCTATGCTGTTTCTAGAAAGTGAATCTCACCTCTTTCCAGTTTAGAGAAATATAGTGTTTGCAGCCAATCTTTCTAGACTCTTCTTTCTCACAGATGTTTATGATAAGCGTTTTTCTGTAAATAAAAAACCCATTTGAGTATTTAACCAATTATTTCCCAATGGCATAAAAATGAAGTATTTTCCTTCATCATTCTTTAAATACTAACTCATAATACAGGAGCAAATAACTATTTTCTTTAGTACATTCTGAAATGTAAACAATTAAAACTGAAATCCTTTTTATGGTATTTTTAAAAAGATTATTAAAGACTATTGGCAAATTACTTTTAAGAAAAAGGGGAGGTAGAAAAAAATTATATGTAAGTAAAGAAGACTTTCAATAAGGAACTGTGTATCAGCAATATGTGCCTCCTGAAGTTATAGGGGAGATAGGTCTCCTATTTAATTAACAATTGCTTGATTTATTACATTGTATTTTCAATAACAATCTAAATTTCAATCAATACAGAACGATTATACTTCACCATTAAATGCATGAAATAGCATTTACAGAC